CTTTGCAGACTACTAAGGATCAGACATTGTATCACTATGCAATCGATTATGTTTCTAAGTACAATTGACAATCATAAAATATCACTCCAACAATCATACTCTTTTGCTATCATTTAGAGTTGTAATTTATCAACATCAAACCTTTTCTTTAAAACTTTCCCTTTTCTTTTAGAATTTAAATGATAAACTGAAAACAATGTGGGAAGCACTTCAGTTATCTTTTTCCTATCTTTGGTGCCCCCTGCTGGTACAATAACAGCAATGCACACAACACTAACTGCTAGGTGCAGGATTGTTGGATTACACTCTGAAGCTGACATATGACTTAAAATTCATTGATGCACCGTCCTTCCAAAATAAAGGGCCTGCTCAGCAAACAGTGACACACAAGAAGCGACTGACTGACTTTTTACAGATAACTCACCCAGCAGCCTTTTGGGTCTCCTCTGACAGTCCCTCTTCTTTCACCAGCTCCTCAAAGTTGACTATATCCTCCAGATCTGGGACAAATCTGAAGCAATAATGAAAAAGAAAATGTTTCCAATAGCAAGATAAAAATGTTTCTGATGTAAAATCACATTTAACCTCACGTTTACACAATATATCAGTAATTCCTTCTAACTGACGCCATATAAACTTTCACTCAAATTCCTTTTATTATACCTGATTGCGCTGCTGCAACAATGAAGGCCTCCAGAACGGATCATACGTACATAGCCCATGGCGTTACCTGAAAGAACAGTGTGAAATTGTGTTGTCTTTGCATGCAACTGCAGTTTAATGTTTAATACCAGAAACCAATAAAAGCATCCTCACCGATCTGGCTGATCAGCTGTCTAAACTGGTCCAGGTAGCTCTGTCCATCAGGAGTGATGCCCAGTTTCCTGATGCCACGGTTAAACTTCTCTGCTCGCTCAAACGGATACTGTAACAACAAGACAAGACATATGGTACTGTGACAGCTTAGCCCGAGCAATGACAGCTCTACTTTTACTCCCTGGCTCCAGGGTCTTCCCCCTCTGCCAAACTTCTGTTCACTTAAAATGACTGAAAATGGAAAGACAGAGAAGACTGCACCTTCTGATCAGACTGGTCCTTTGTTTCTCTGAAGAAACGTATGTCTTTGATGAGTCTGGACTTGATGTGTTCGTCGTACATAAACTGACTGAAGATGTAAAACTTCTTTTGCAGAAACTGGTAGGTGAAATTCACCTGACGGAAGAATAGAGGAAATATAAAACAGGCCTTACATCCATATATGAGAATGTCAAAACACATGTTGTTGTTTTCTGCTGGAAACTCACAGTGGTGTTCATGATTCCTGTACCGTGTGTTCGGATGGAGTTGGCGATGTGACGGATGTTGATGGTGTTCAAGTGCTTGTTGTTGCTTGCCTTCTCAATGAAGATCTGTCACAAAAACAATTATAACTGCAGAGGCAGCAACACTTTGCGATTCAATGGGAGAAAAATCCATATGGACTCTGACCTGGTTGTTGAGGTTATAAAGGTATCGTGAGACAAAAACATGAATGTTCCTCATGATCTCCAAAACATCCAAACCCTGGTGAGAACACAAGGAGGATTTAGTTAATTTGTCTATGTAAATCTCCACCTCTGCTCATGAGGGAGGAGGTGTAACCAAACAGACCTGCTCTAGTGTCTGGCTGGGCAGATGAGCCTCTGTCATTGTGAGTCCATAGCGCTGTGTAGCAAGGTTTCTCATCTCACTGTAGGTGGCCCAGTCATGCAGAGCGACAGTCGTCAGGTTGTAGAACGTTTTGTCCAGGTAGTGCGTCACATAGGCTGTAGCACATTAAAAACCTTACAGTATTGCAGTAAACGGTTTACTGTTAAAGAAACATTCATGCAAAGAACAAATCACTTATGGAGGACCTTTTTATATTTACTATAACTTGGGACTAAGTCACCAGAAAGCAATAGCAGCAACCTTCAGAGAGCAAAAAGGGATGTTTGTATTGTGCTTTTCTGCAATGCAAAAAACGTGTGTGTGCCACAGCACAGAATGGCACAAGACAAGAGTTTAGTTCATGTTGTTGGTGCATAAGAAGTCACTGTACTATTAAAAATTTGAGAGTGCAAATCAAACGCACACCTTACATTAAAAAAATAATGAAAAGAATAAAAATGATAGGACACTTTTTAAAAATTCAAATGACTTTAGAAAAATAACAGATGTCTTCACAAATAACCATACAGGTGACTAAAAATATATTCTTTAAAGTGTCCCCACCCACAAAAAAACATTAAGCGTTTCCCATGGCTAAAACGAAAAGCAAAAAACAGGAGCAAATATGGTTTGAGGGCACAGACGTATGAAAAGTTCTTTTGCACCTTTGATATGAATGAAACGATTGAAGAATCGAATGGGCTTGAGGGAGAAGAAGTGGGCCAGATCCTTCATGCCAACTTTAAAAGGGTTCCTGTCATCAAGCTTCAGGTGCGTGTGAACAGAGAGACGCAGGTCCTTCTCAATCTCCTTACACAGCTTGTCGAGCAGGTGCTACAACACAGGAAGAAAGAATCTTAACAAATAAAAGCCTTAAAATAGCCACGAAAGAAGCCTGTTCAGAGCACGCTCTCACCTCCTTGAACACGTCCATGATCTCCTTGTCGTAGCTCTCCAGCAGCTGGTCACATGACTCCATGTGTTTGGAGTGCATCATAGACAGCACACTGTCCCTTAGTGCACTGAACATGTACTGCTCACGCCAATCACCGTGCAGATGGACAGAACAGCAGAATAGCCAAAAATGAGATAACACTCAAAACCTCACTAAAATAAAGACAAAAAATACACACACTGGCACAAAGTATTGTGTAGTGAATATGATGTGAAGCAATATGTAACCTATTACTCATACATTTCTATCTTGTGTATGGTTACACCTCTTACTTTCTGCTGGTATGTGTGTACTCTACTCAACAAGTGTGAGTTAAGAAATTAGCGGGGAAAGAATAATGTGTTTTGCCAGGGTCAATCTGACCCAGGGAACACTGCACTCAGTCCTGTGTGATAAACAGCCCTTATAAAGGTGTAATGAAAGCAGATGTTGCTGTAGTTGAGGGTCAAGGACGTGTAAAGTGTCTTTGTACATTTTCTAGAGATTTCCTCAACTGTTTTTGAGTTACACCACAATGTTTCAGAGTTTCACTGTGTCATGTTCATCACAGGTCTGTCTGCTTACATGTATTCGTGCTGCGTCTACGGCGTTGTCATATACGTCATCTAGATAGATGGGAAACACAGCTCGGTGCCAGTACAGGAAACTGCAGTCACACTGAAGCTTGACCCTGAGGAACAAAGAACACTTTGTTGAATATTTTAGCATGCAGGGATAATCTTAAGGTAGGTGAAAGATAAGACTGAATCAGTCCCATCTGCGCCAAATTTTTCCACACCATCTAATGGAAACTTCACCGAGATGCCAGATGGCTGTGAGCTTCAACAAATAATCAGTGAGTCACCTGCCAGCATGTGCTTGTGCTGAACATTTGGATCAGTGTCTGAATGGATGTGTTTGTTGGCTTTAGATTAGTGGCATGAGACACATGAGAGTTCTAAATGGTGCATTTTGGATTCTTCTGTCCTTCTGACACGTGGTACTGGACCTCTGTAAGTATGTCCTGGTGTGTGTAGACACTTGCACTGTTTTCAGCAAAGCACTAGACACACACACTGGCACGAAGTATGCTGTAGTGAATAGAGTAGACCACTAGAGTGGTTTATTCCAACCACTTCTAATTATAAAAGGCTGCTTTGATTTTTTTGATCGTCATTTTTTTCCCCCCACTTTGTCAACCTGCTCTAGTTCTTCTTTTTTTATTGTTATGAGTTTACAATTGTGTGTTGTTAAGGTTCAAAATTGAGGAAGGAGAGTACAAACAACCATGGTCCAGAAGAGCTTGGTCAAACAATTGATTTTAATGAAATACACGCGTGGGGGGACCAGCTCCGTTCGCAGACAGCGCTGATCTGCGACTAATCAAAGCATAGGCAGATATTTTATACCATCAGGGTTTGAATTTAATGACACCCCCTCATGCGTCATCAGATACAATATATGCATAGGTTCCAAGACCACAGTGACTTTTAACACAGTTTAAAAAGGAACATTGTCTCTGTCTTCATGGCAGATGTTTCCTGTCAACCTTTTGACTTTCACTTCTCGTCTGGAACACCAGACCCACATCCTGCAAGAAACTGTTCCTCTTTTGCAGAGACAATTTCG